GAGCTCTTCTGCATGAGTTCTGAAATCACAGGGAACCATGGACCCTGCCCTTGCATTGAACTTGTTTGTAAACACTTTTCTAAGCCTACCTAAACACTTACTAATTGCTTAAATGTGCTGCCTACATTAATTCCTGTTAAAATTAAAGAAATTAAAGGTCTGCCTTTGTTTTCAAGCAATGACAGACATGCTTTCAACATATTCAGTGTTTCAGAAAAAAATGTTTCTAAGGTTCTTCAAACACTCAAGGGAGGGCTTCTCTCTGTCACCCTGAACAGATCCCCCTTGCTTAGTTTTTGCTCAACAGATACACTTTTCTTCTGAAACTCTCCCCTTACATGCTCACATGGAACAGGTTAACTTTTTATATGTTAAATTCCCAAAGTAGAAAATTACAAATAATAATATCAAAATATTCCTAGAAGGGTGAACTTTTGATTATACAACTTGAGAAAAATGATTACTGAAAGCAAACTTCAAAGGCAGCAATGGACATGGATTTTAGTTGTCTGTTTTTTAAAATCCCAGTTACAATAGGAACATGACATTTAATTTAGAAACAACAATTTAATTCTTAGGTAAAATTCCAGGATACTATATGAAAATGTATTTCACAAAAATAAAAACTCTAATAACAATGAAGGAAAATTCCCATATTTGATTGATATTAAAACATAAACAGCATTCTTAAAATTTCCAACTATATTGATAGACAAATTCACTATTTTAGCTATAAAATGTATTTACTGAAATATTTTGATTATAATAAATACACAGATATGGAGTTTTATCAGTACTAGCCCACACTCACTAAATCATCTACCACAGCAGAAAAATTCTTTTCAGAATTCTGAACAGCAATACTGGGCATCTAAGTCTCAGACAGGAATCTAAATCAGTGAGGTTTCTCTGACCTTATGTGGAGCAGGAGATACCCTTAGATAATTTTGTAAACTGGTATAATTTAATAGGACTTCTAGACAAAGGACGTTCAACAGGTAGGATTTCTATGGCATCAGAAAACCTTAAAAAACCAGTTCAATCCAGCTATTGTGGCTCTCTATCTAAACGAGACTCTAGGACTCACAGGTTTTAATCTGGGCATTCTGAGCACATTTTCTGATTTAGAAAAGTAACTGGCTGTGCAAAACCCAAACATAAAGTTTATATCACTCTATATGAGAAAGAATAACCTTTAATAGGAGAACTTCTGTTGAGGTTGACAATAAAGAATGGAATCCTATTTTTAAGTGCCCAAACAACTTAATAGCTCAATGAGCTAACAACTAAAAGCAAAAACCTGCCTTGACTTTGACTGACACTGAATTTATTGGTATTAGTATTTGGTTTGCCGAAGTGGCAACTGTTCAGTATCCAAAAGTCTGGTGTATTTTAAGCACAAAGCACAATCCTGACTACTTATAGTCAAAGTAACTGTCTCAAGCCAAAAACACAATGAAAATGCAAAATAAACTTCAGAGGTTTTCGAAGTAATGCAGGAATTTCTGAACCCTTGGGACAGAAGGTTAGAGTGGGGAGGGGTTACCTTCTTCATTGATACTTTAATCTCTTTTCAACCCATTATGATTTAATAGTGATTTGTGACATTGTGTTTTCTTTAGTGACTTCTTAGAAAGCTGTGGCTGTTTCCCAAGTGGGAAACCACAGGATGATGCTCGCAGGACACTGAGAGAATTCTCGTGAAGGTATTTACAGAAAGGTGCTGAGAAATGTTCAGTTAGAAACAGGAACTAGCGCACAATGGACTTCAAAATAATAACTTTCATACAGTATGGCAAAAGAGAACATTGCCTAAGAAGCCTAGAAATTCAGTTCTAACTCTGATCCATTTCTACAAACTGTAAAAAACAAAGCAACACAGAGGTGCATTTCCCAAACTCCACATGCCTGTGGAAAACCCAATGTCAGTTGTTTCCAGTCCAGATCAGTCTTCATCTCAAGTACCAGGACAGTTAACAATGTACACATTTGACCTTTTGAAAATACTGTGGCCATCGAAGGCACAAGAGCCGATAGGAGCTAAAGATCAGTAAACATTGCCTGTTAGACACAAATCCCTTCTGCTGAAAAGATGCAAATTGATAGGTTTCAGGATTTTCAAGCATTTTCACTTCCAAAGGGTAAAGTTACAACATATGCATAGGGTGGACTTGAAAAATGGATGTGTATGTAAAGTTTTCCATGGTCTTCACGAGAGCCACTCCCGCCTCCCCAGAAATGCCTACTGCTTACAATGTTCAAGAATCTTCACCACTTTGCCTGTAAACTTCCAACCAGAAGTCCTCAATGTACCTGAAGCCAAACTGAATATTAGGTATTTTACAAAATGGCTGTAAACCCCCATTATGGGCATCCATGGCTCTTTGATCTCACTGCACAGAATTCATAACTGTTCAATAATGCTATACCATTACACCACACACCTTCAAGTATTTCCATTTTTCCACAATTCCTTCCAAAATCAGCTTCCAGAGAAAAGCAATGTAACATGAAAAGTTTCTGGGAGGGCTCGTTACATAAAAGAACAGCGTGGATGAAAACTAAGCCACACACACATCCATCTTCTGCCGGGCTTGTTTATCCCTCCTCTCCCTCCATCACTCCTAAACGTGGGTGCACTTAGTAATGGAAAGAGAAGGCTCTTCCATCAGCACCCACTTCCAGCACCTCTGCCTTTGGTCTTCAGACAGTAAGTCTGCGTAGGTGATGCAAACCCTAAGAAAAGAGAGGCTGTCCCTTTAAAATGCCCTGCTCTGTCCCAGATCCCACGTGGAACCAACATCAGCAGCACTTTCCCACTACCATCAATGTGATGCAAGAGGCACCATCCTTTTATACACATAAAACCAGAAACCCTCAGTCCAACATTCCTTAGTGAGGGCGAACAGGTGAAGCAAACGTGTCAGGAAGGGAGAAGCCAAACAACTCCCCACCCCTCCCCAGAAGGTTCGCCAGTCTCGCCCTCCAGTCTCTCTGGGCAACAGCACCTTTCCACCCCTCCTCTGGAGAGCCCAGTTTAAAGAAAGGAGGGAGCCACTAACAAAACCTGAGGCATAAATGCGACGAAAATGCAATCTAAAGCCGCAAAGGTTTATTCTTCCAATCACACACATTAACTCTATTAAGAAAATGGCATCACTTTCTTTCCTACTAAAAAAAGCAAACCCCGCAAAGATCATTAAAAGGGAGTTATAAAATAGCAAATATCGTGTTTATCTTATCTCAGATCAGCCCACATTACCAATAAGTTTAGCAGTTTCTACACTACCACCTCCCCCTCCCTCCCCCTGCTTCTCTTGCATTGGATTTTCACGTTTTCTCATTGTCGGTGGAGTTATAAAAGGCTTTTGCCCTTCGAAAGTTTTAAAAAATAAATAAATATTAACTCCTTGGTCCCTGCAAAGTCAAAATGGACTTCAGGGGAAAGGCGGTTCACACTTTTACCTTTAGCGAGAAAGGGGGGAGCATCCCGGATTTTTAGGGATTTTTTGCGATTTTTTAACAATTTTTATTTGGTTATATGCCTGAGTTCTCCCTCCATTTTGGTTGTTTATGATACTGACAACAAGCTGTCCCTGCTCCGTCCCGATCTCCTGCTTTCATTTAGCACCCCCTCCCCCTACGCCCCCGCCGCCACCCTGCTGGGTCCGGCGCCCCGCGGACCCCGCACCCCGACTCGGCTATCCCACCTGGGCAGAGGGCAAAAACAAATGCATTTCTCCAGAAAAGAAAAACCTCTTCGGAAAAGGGGGCAAAGTTACCCCAAGTCACTCCCAGTGCCCCCCAAATATTGCCGACCGCGGGTCTCCGCCAGGCCCTTTGGGAAGCGACCTTCCCCCGGGATGTTTTGGTGGAAAATGCGGAGAGTTTCCTCTCAAAACCGAATTTATATTAATTTTTCCCTTATTTTTCGGGTCTCTAATGTCTTCCGCTCTCGCTGCTGCCGCTGCCGCTGTCACAATATTCACAGCACCAGAGAGGAGGAGGAGGAGGAGGAGGAAAACTTTTCAAACTTTCCAGACCCTGAATAAAAGGGTTTTTTTTTTTCCCACCGACCTCACCTTCGGGTCCCCAGACGCGTCGCCCCCTGCCCTGTCAGCAGCGACCTCGGGAGTCCTCGCAGCCCCGCCGCACGATTTTATTTGATTTTTTATTATTATTTTTCTCTCTGGGGTCCTGAGCAGGGGCTGGGAGTAGCACAAACTTTTCCTCCTCCTGCCGCCGCCGCGGCTCCTCTGCCCCCTCGGCTAGTCCCATAATTTAAATAACCCTGATATTCCTCCCGCTAAACGCCTCCCCGCCGTCCCGGACCCCGGGAGAACTCACCGCGGGGCTTTAACATCCTCCCTCCGGCCCGTCCGCCGCCTTTACACCGCCCGCGGAATTTCTAATAATTTTTTTCTCATATTTCGGGCTGGACGCGGCGGGCCTGGAAATTGTTTCCTTACGCCTCTTTCCAGCAGCCATTGTAGTGTATGCGCTGCCCCTGCAGCTCAACTTGCAGCTGCCGCCGCCGCTGCCGCCGCCGCCGCCGCCGCCGCCGCCGACGTCGCGCCCACTGCCGCCTCCCCCCGCCCGCTCGGCCGCCGCCCCCGCCCCGCGCCCGCCCGCCGGCCCGCCCTGGCCCCCGCCCGCCTCGGGGCCCGCCCCCCGCCCGCTCCGCCCCGGGTCCGGCCAATCCGTGAGGCCGCCGCCGGGTTCCGGCAGATCCATTGGTTGGCGGGGCTGCCCGTCAGGCCGAAGTGTTAAGAGCGAGGCTGTAGGGCGGGGGGCGCGGTGGGGCGGAGCGAGGGCGGGGTCTCACACCGCCCCACCCACTCCTCCTGCCTGGGCCCTCCTCCCACCGCCCGGGGGCGGAGCGAACAGGGCCCGCCCCCACCGCACAGAGTCCCGCGCGCCTGTCAATCTGGCAGCGGCGCGAGTGGATTGGACAGGCCGAAATGGGGGGCGCGGGGGCAGCATGTTGGGGTGCGCGCTACTTAAGGTCCTGCTGCGTGAGCCACTGACGTGTTTGGAGCTGGAGCCGGCTCGGGTGCTGGCGGAGTTGCGACCGGTGGTGAGTGGTCTCCGGCCCCTCCCTCCCTCCACGGCAGGCCCCGGACCACACTAGCCGAGGAGCCCGACCCTAGTTCGCGGCGCCACATCGTCTGCGGCGTGCCCCGCTGTCGCTGCTCGCGCTACGCGATCCCGCTGGGGCAGCGGAAGGTGACCCCATGCAGGTCTGGACACCCCGGATAGTGTCACTCTCTGCCCTGCCCTCCCCGGGTCCCCGCGCTCTGCTGCTCCCCCCACTCCCCAGCCCCCGTGTCGTGTTCACCTGTGCCCGGTGTCTACGGTCGGACACTGCGGAGCGGCACCCCGGAAGGCGAGGCGGTCCGGGAGTCGCGTGCATTGGGCTCTCCTCCGATCTCCCAGTTCTCGGGGTGGTGTGTACTTTGACTTTATGTCCCTGATTCTCTGTACCCAGGTTTACCGCGTGGTGTGTTTCTGCTTCCGCATTTAGCTCTCAGACCTGACTCTGAGCAGCCTAGGGGCCTGGACGTGTTCAGTAACGCGCCCTTCCCCCACCACGGATCAAAGCTACGTGGAGAGTGGGAATCGGGCATCAGGAACTCTTTTGGTAAGCAGTTTGCCCCTTAGAGTAGATTTTAGAGTTATTCTTCACGTGTGCTGTAGGTTTGGAACCTTCCCTCAAACCTTTGATTTTTTTTCTTTCTTTCTGAATATCCATCCACTTGGAAGTAGTAGAACTTTGTAACAGTTGTTCACTCCTGAATCTTCAAAGAGTCAGCAGATAAGGCCTCTTCAGCAGGGCACTCCATCTCGCCCTTCAGCAGCACTCTTCCAAGTAAATTGACATTTCCTCTTCCTGAACAGTTCACACAGGGATTCATGTGAAGGAGGGGGCATTCGGAAATCCATGTTTAAAGTGACTTGTGTTTAGAATCCAGAATAAAAGACAATGAAGAGGGGAATAGCTCGAAGCAGCAAATTTGATGCCTGTATTGTGTAGGTATTTTTAAAGATTTTTCTGGAATGATACTGACAGAACAGAATCCCTTCGTGGTTAGGACAGAGCTTGAGTTCTGTTTGTGTCTGATTGTTGCTGAGATTATTATATGCCTGGTGTATGAAGAATCAAGCAGAGTTCTGTGAAGACATGACAAGATAGATATGAAAGAGAAGATGGTAAATTTTCTTAGACCCCTTATTTCTCTTAGGAAGAGGCAGTCGTGTAAAATTCTGCCCTCCGAGGAGCAAAGGCTTCTAGATACAGTTGGACTCTGTACTGAGTTTCTGTCAAGATGCTTCTATTGGCTGGATATTTTCAACGAAGGTCATGAAATAAAATAATTATTTGGTAATTATTCAAAGTTAAAGAACTGAAGAATAACCAGAACCATCCTTTCTATCCCTCGGAAGGGTTGGACTCTTTTAGCCTAGACATCTGGCTGTTTCTCAGTATAGAAGGAACTGGATAGGGTGACCATTGACTGAGAATACATTCACTTATCTGGCGTTCAGGGGCTTGAATTACTTTTTCTGAAGATATGTTATTTCTTTGAACATTTTTGTGACATTTCATACAAAAATTCTAACTTCTCTGAAAATGCCCATGCATGTTTTTGTCTTTTTGTTTTTTTAATTCAGTGGCATTGTGAACATCATACTGTCTTGTTTCTCTGGAATCTACTTTGATTTTTAGGTAGAAAAATGATTAAACTAGGGCAGGATTTGGGCATTATGCCAGATCAGCGCCTTAAGCTTGGTGCAGGGATTTTTTTTTTTTCAAAGATGGTGGGCTGCGTATTAATGCCATATCAATGTATTGAAACAAATAAAGATCACTCTGAAGTAGCTGGGACTATTGCTGTTTTCTTTGAAGAGAATTGTCACCAGTTTCCCTTGAGCTGGAGTCTGAGGAGCAGTTGTCCTGAACCACGACTGATAGACAGCTTCACTTCCTGAAGTGTGGTCCTCTCCTTGGGATAGCTGAATGGCTCTCAGGGAAGTGTGCTGTCTTTAATCAGTCAAGACTTCTTGCAGAACTGTATGTCTAAGACTCCAGTTGGAAAATTACTGAGCCACAGTAGCATTCCCTGACTTCCTCCAGCCCAGGGGAGTGGCATTTAAGTAGAGGTAGCGCTGGAAGAAAACTCTTCATTGGAACGCTCACTGAGCAGTAACTTGGCTTTTCGAGATACTCACTGCGCTCTGTTGTTTACTAAAAGTACCTTCTGCTTAGAGAGTTAAGTTTTCCATGCTTGTGAGGCCGATGATGTTTTCTGGTCGTTTCCTTCTGACCTGTTTTTCTCCCAGGTGCCCGCAGTGAGAAGACAAGATGCCCCTGGTCACACGGCGCCTGAGGGACCCTGACATAAACCCTTGCTTGTCGGTAGGGTGGTTTGTTTTTCATTGTCGTCAGTGTTAACTTGGGAAAACCGCTCTTAATTTTGTTGGCGTTTGTTTCCGACAGTTATTGAATAAAGTATTATTCTCTGAAAAAGATATTCCTGGCCAGTGTATTTTATTTCACTCTGACATTAAAAAATGACCAAAATGTAGCTAACAAAGACTCTTTTCTTCAGTTTTGCTTAGTTGTGAAGGAAGCCGCGTTTGGTTGTTGCTGTAAAGCTTGGCCAGCATATGTAACGCCAAGGAAAATCTTGAAATCTAAACGTGGTACAGCACGGCAAACTCTTAAAAACAATGGTTTTAATCACAACAGTTATTTAATCTGTCTTTGAGACAACCTGGCTGAGTCATAGGGTGACGGTACAATTAGCTTATTTTAAAGCTTAATGGTTCTCAGAAAGGTATCTTAAAAACAACATTGTGTTGAAATAATAACCTTTTGTTCACATTAATTGGCTATAACTTGTAACGCTCTGTTGTGTCCTTGCCACTCCTGAGAAATACAATATAAACGTCATCGTATTGTTGCCATGTGGAGCACTAAGGCACCATCCTGTATGGACTTTTCAGACATACACACTATACAGTATATATTCATTGGTCTGTATATTCTGTTTCCAACAACTTTATTAAGTATGCAAATATTGTTTAGATAAGTTATATTTCTTAGAATGGTGAAACAGATTGCCTGCCTATTGGAAACTTTATTTTGATAACTTCTCATAGCCATACCTTTTTTTTTTTTTTTTGAAGCTTGTTGTCCAAACCACTTCTAGTTCAGACAGCTTAAGTTTAATTACCGGTGCTACCTACTTCATTTCCCAAACGCACGGCCCTGTGCTGCTAACTTTCTTTTTGAAGTCACATTAATGATAACTATTAAAACTGCATATGTAATAGTACGCTTGCGTAATGGAGTGAACGATAGCCAAAAAATGCATCTAGATGAATGCTGTTAATTTAGGTTGCCTTGATGTAGATCACTTACTTGTGTAATTTACCTGGAATCTCAAAACGAGCGTTAAGATGAAACATCAAGTCAAAATGAGAATTGGGGAAAGCCAGGAGTGCGCCGTGAGCTGGGAGACAGGTTCCCCCCCCCNCCCCCCCCCCCCCCCCCCCCCCGCTTACTGTGGAACAATGCTCCGCACGGTAGATCTCGCTTCAGCTTCTGGGACAAATGACCACAGTCAGTGCTTTGGCTCAGACTCGTGTGATCAGATACTTAGAAAACTGGCCCGGACTGGAAAAAAAAGATGTCTTTTTTTAAGTTGAGTGACTTCTGGAATAGTTGGCTATATTATTTGGGTTTTATAAGTCTACCCACTAAAATATGAACAAAAATAAACCATTTCCCATCTGCTCAGAGGGGAAGCAATTTCAGAAGCCTTGGTGTTGGGGTCTTTTTTAGATCATATTCCACATTTTAAATGACGACTCTCTTACATATTTAAGGAATCTGATGCTTCTACCAGATGTATGGATGAAAATAACTATGACAGGGAAAGATGTTCAGATTACTTCTTGAAGTACAAAAACTGCCGGCGATTCTGGGTAAGCCCACTTTGGCACGCTTCTGGTTAACACTCTGCTCTTGGCTCTTGGCTGAAGCTGATATCAATCAATAACTCACATTCTTTCCAATAATGGCTGGAGGGAAATTTAACCTCCAGCCTTACCTCCCATGTAGTATTTCAACCCTATGGGGTCCTTGAGAGATTGTTTCATTCTAGTGTAAGGGTTAATGCTTCAGTTTCAATATAAATAAGTCTTCCCAGGGAAGTATCTGTAACCATAAAATAACCTTGTTATAAATTTGTGTTTCCTGAAGAAGAGGAGAAAGTATAGTTTACCTTGATGTCATACATCCCCTTAGACTTCCGTTTCTGTCTCCTTTCCCACAGCAATTATCGTGTTAAAATGTGATTAATACATTGATAATTCATTTGTTTCGTTTAGTACTATGGCCAGCTCCTTCCTTTTCCTTTTCTGATAATTAGTCTCACTTAATCATGCCTAGCTCTTGTAGGTGAACTGTATACACTCTTGTATATGTACTTCATGGCATATTCCTACCCCACTCCTGCTGATAATGTTTTCTGTGAGGATAATCACTTCAGTGTAAGTAAATGTTAGTAGATTGAAACATCAGGAGTTCCAGAAGTAGGTTTTGGAGTTTTAAAACTTCGGTTTCACCCAGCACTTGGGAAGTAGAGGCAGGCGGATCTCTTTGAGTTCAAGGCCAGGCTGGCCTACAGAGCTAGTTCTAAAGCTACATAGAGAAACCCTGTCTTGGGGGAGGGAGGGAAACCCTTAGGCTTTAGAATTTTCTTTTTGAAGAAACAGTGGAAAATTACTGGCAAGTTATTTCCATCTAATACATGTCTGATTTTGATGCTTTCTTTTATGCCTATGTACAGACTTCTGTCATGATCCAAAGAAGACAAAATGGAGTTGAGCCATCTATGCCTACAGCAGCAGAAAGAGATGAGATTTTGCGAGCAATGCAAAAGATGCCCTATTGACTGTCTGCATTAAAATTGTTTCTATAACTCGAAGGAGATGACTTTTTTTTTTTTTTAAATAAATGTTTGCTGAAGTCTTAAGACTATACCCGTTTCCATCCCAGTCAATTTGGAGTTGTACAAGGTGAGGCAGAAGTTCAGTTAGCCTCTTTGGTGTCTTTGCCTTCAGTGCTGTGACAAGAATATGTTATTTCTATGCTGCCCCTCATAGAAGGACAGCAGTGTTAGGAAGGGCTGTGGGAGCTGAGCCCTCTTTGGCCCAGAAAGAAACTTAACATGAGAGCAGACTCCTGGGGCTCTTACATAGGTAGACTTTCTCAGGAAAGGGAATGATGCAAGCATTGCTATGGTGGCCAGAAAGGGGACCGTGATGAGCTGAAGAACATCCTGTGTTTAAAACAAGTAGAGACAAGGTGGAGAGGGGATTGGCAGGGTGCGTTGTGGGTGGATGTGTGGTGGGCTGCAGACCTGGTCTCCCCCGAGGTCTTCATCCTGCTGCACCCGTCATCTTTAAAGTTAGTGCGTTCACTAGGAGGTCAGTGGGCACGAGAAGAACCATCCTTTAAGGAAAGGCTTGAGTCCATGATTCTGGCAAAAATCTGAGTTTTAAAAAAAGGACCTTCCTAGAAGTAGGATTTCTAGTTTCAGGATGAGAGGACATAAAGCTTAGGGGATTTTTGGATGAACCAGCGTGGGCAAGCTTCACTTCAGTTAATGATAACAATGGAGTGTTCGGTATGGTGACTGGGTGATACAGGAGCCCTCCTTGTTCCTGCTGCTTTTTCATTGTTTTGTATTTAATGATAATGTGTTTTAGGAAGTCAAGGCAAACTGTTGTATTCCTTCCCATCACCTGGTCCTGAATCAAGAGCATCAGTGGCTACTGACAATGAAATCTCCAGTCGTAAACCCAGCTCAGAAATGTCTAAACCAGATGACATTATTTTATTTTATTTTTGAGACAAGGTCTTGCTGTGTAGTCCAGCCTGGCTTGGAACTTGGTGGTCCTCACACCTCAGCCTTCTGAACACTGGGATAACATGAGCTACCACATCTGGCTTAACCTGATTGTTGGATGTGATTCTGTTTGAATAAAAATGGATGGAAAATATTTTGTGGTGCAGAATTTGGGGGAGTAGCCAATTAATGTTTAGTTTAACTTGAGGGTCATACCAGGAGAGGGAGCCCATGTCCTACACTGCTTGGATGGCCAGGAACCAGAGACTGGACAGCCCAGAGACCTAGGATTGATGCTTTGTCCAGTCATCACCAGAGAGGCTTCCTCTGGCAGCAGAGGGGAGGAAGTGCAGAGACTCACAGGCACATATGAGGAGAAAGAGTCTAAGTTGGAGGTTTCCATCAGGTCCCTCTCCTCAGAGATCAAGGCACCCTGTGGAGGAGTGTGAACAAAGATTGTAGGAGTTAGAGGAGATAGAGGACGCCTGGAGAACATGCCCCTCTAAACTAAGCAAGGCTCGCATGAGCTTACATGAACTCACACAGCCTCACGTGGACTCGCAGAGACAGAAATGGGCCTGCATCACGTCCTCTGCATTCACGTTATGGCTGTTAGCTTGGTATTCTCGTGAGACTCCAAACAGTAGGAGTGGGTGTATCTCTGGCTCTTTAACCTGCTCTTGAGACTCTCCTAATGGATCGCCTTGTCTAGCTTCAGTATCAGGGCTTTCAGCTTGTCTTATTTTATCTTGTTTTTCCTGCTTGACTGTTGTCTCTGGGAGGCCTGCTCTTTGCTGAAGAGGAGACAGGTGGAGTGGATCTGAAGGGGAGGAGGAGAGATGGAGGTGAAGAATTAGGAGGAGTGGAGGGCAGGGAAATTGTGGTTGCTATGTATTGTGAGAGAAGAATATTTTCAATTTAAAAAAGAGATAAAACATTTTGAGTTGATTTCTGTGAAAGTGATGAATTCAGGTAGAATTTCAGATTTACTACACGCTTTCATGAGCATGTAAGCATATTCCCTGGTCTAGAATTTTTGCATCACTTCTACGTGCTTGTTAGATCTCAAACCCACATGGCTGAGGTACCTACTTAACATACCAAGACAGACAGACCTGGTTTACAGGTTCTCCCAGCATCCCTCAGTCCCTCCCTGTTACAGGGTCCTCCTGACTGGCATACCCCACCTCCTATCTTAAACTTTTCCAGCCCAAATATTCATTTGGGCTTCCCTCCCCAAGCTGCCTTTCTCTATATAATTCAACCATTACCTGGCACTTTGGTCTACCCTTTACTCTCATGGCCTCTTGGTTCTGTTCCTCTGCCCTCTCCTCACATGGCCTGGCTCAGTCTGGTCATGTTTACTCTGGACTCTCCCAGATGTCTCTGCTGATGACTATGCTCTCCCTTTTGTCTATAATAAACTTTCTCCTCCATTATAAGCAGTTATGTCCTTCCTTTTCTGTGTCATTCATCTGATGTGGAAACCCAGGAGTGGTACAAATGAATTCCCTTCCAAGGAACTCAGCCTCTCCAAATCAAGCGGCTGATTAGACTCTTACAAGGTATGTATGGATTATTTGATTCTGCTGACTTCTGCTGCCCACAAAATTTGGTTCCCACATGGAGAGTTCAATTGTTCAGCAGCTGCTTCTTCTACCTGTTTTTCTCACTATTTGTCTCTCATCTGAGTGTCTCTCTGGGCTCTGCCCTGCTCTGCCCTCCATGTGGGCACCTACGTGTTTCTCTGGCTCCTGAAGCCGCTATGCCTTTGGCCTGCTACATCCATCTGGACTTCTCATTTTTCTTCTGCTCTCTCCCCCGTCTCCTATACTGGATAGGTGCCACTGTGGAGTTCCCTGCTTTGTCTCCTTTTACTACGAAAATCACACTGGTGTGCTAGAAAGCTCCTCTTGCCCCCACTGGGCTCCAATCACAAGGATGTTGGGTGCCTTTCTGTTGTACAATATTATTTAAAAATCTGTTACTTTTGTTTATGCTGTGAAACGTTTGTTCAACGATGCAAAGATGGGTTGGATTCTTTTATGTTGCATTTGTTTAACTCTGTGAAGCTGTGTTTCTTTGCCTGCCTAAAACACCTGATTGGTTAAATAAAGAGCTGAACAGCCAATAGGTAGAAAGGAGAAAGGATAGGTGGGGATGTCAGATAGAGAAAAAAAGCAAACAGCTCAAGGAGTGAGAGAAGGAGGAGGACTCCAGGGGCAGTCACCCAGCTACACAGCCAGTGACTGAGTAAGAAGTCAAAAAAAGGTATAGTCATTATGGGGCATTATGGTTTACTGCAGAAAACTGATAGAGGCTCAAACCCAAAATTATGTACAGGAAGGTAGATGAAATCTTTTTTCTAGAATTAGTTGGTACTCTATAGGATCATCAATATCATAACAAAAAGTTTAGAATATATATGTATATATATATGTATTAATCATACAAAATTTATACCTCAAGAAAAGCTTTCAAAGGGTCAATATAAAACCAAAGAATTATGAGAGTAGTGTCAATAAAAAAGTCCTTAAATTTTTGTTTTTCTTCTGTCCCACATCGGGTGGCTCTTATGACAGGGGACATTTTGGATTTCATTTTAATAAGCATGCTTGACTTTAGAGAAGGAGGGAGGCACACTCTCAACTCCAAAGCCAGCTTTAATCTTTAAGGACTGGGGCTACAGAAAGACCATTTGCATTATGTCTGTAGGGAACAATAGAAACAAAAATTTGGGAAGATTTATGAATTTTATCCTCTTGGAAAAGTGATATACAAATAAGTCAATCTACTCTTTATCTTGAGACTTTTTTTTTCTGGATGAATTTTCCTTTTTCTTCAGATGTCTCATTTGTTCAGTGGTCTTCAGATTCTTTACCTTTATTCTCCTGAAAAGACAGAAATAAAACCCTTCCCCAACACTAATTTTAGGGAGATTGTCTTTTGGCAAGTTAGATCTGGTCAAATGAAAAGGATTTGTTAGTTTTATACATTAGTTGAGATTAAATGGCCTTGCTATTTGATGAACTATGACCTCCTCTAATCAAGATGCCTCTCTTGTTCAAATCGAACCTTTATCAATTTTGATGGTATCCATAGATTTTCGTCTCCCGTGGAAACAAAAACAAAACCCCTTCTCTTATGTAACACATATCCTGAGTTCCATTCTGAGGTCAGTACTTTTTTAAAGTATAGCGGCTGATTTAACTCTGTAGTTTTTTTTTTTTTTTTACATTCCACTGTCTCTTTGCAGTTGTTGGTCCTTTCTCATTAACATTTAGAAAATTCAAAGTTAATAAAGCATTATTCAATCTACTGCTGGGGTATTTACCATCCCATTCTGTTTATTTAACATATCCTTTAGAGTTCAATTTGATCTCTCTCTAACTGCCTGGCCTGTAGGATTGTATTGTATACCTGTAACATGCTTTATATTATAATAAGCAAGAAACGATTTAATTTTCTTAGAGACACACCCTGGAGCATTGTCTATATTTGTACAGTTATACCCATGATGGCCATAACGTCTAGCAAATGTGTTATTACCTAAAAAGCCTTTTTTGAACTCATAAAGTAGTTGCCCACAGAAAAGCTGAATAGGTATCAGTGGTGTAGTGCACATATTTTAGTTTTTGAAATTCTACAAAATGGAAAAAATCCATTGGCCAGATTTCATTCCTTTGAGTACCCTTTGGGCTACTTCCTACAGGTAGTGGTGTTTGAGTGTATAAAGAACAAGTAAAACATTTCCTTATGATTTCTTTGGCTTGTTGCCATGTGATGGAAAAGTCTTTTTTAAAAACCTTTATTAGGACTGTAGAGATGGCTCAGTGGTTAAGAGCATTGCCTGCTCTTCCAAAGGTCCTGAGTTCAATTCCCAGCAACCACATGGTGGCTCACAACCATCTGTAATGGGGTCTGGTGTCCTCTTCTGGCCTGCAGGCATACACACAGACAGAATATTGTATACATAATAAATAAATATTTTAAAAAAAGATCTAAAAGATATTTAAAAAAAGAAATGGGTTAATTTAAAATATAAGAGCTAGCCAATAATAAGTGTGAGCTAATAGGTCAAGCAGTGTTGTAATAGTATCATTTCAGGGTCTGAGTGGCCGGGAATGAA